CTCCAGCCCCACCCTTCTCTTCCATCTCCAATGTAGCCAGGTTTGCTTTTCACAGTGTAGCATGTCCTCAGAGCATTTCAACTGGTCATCAGCATGCCACATGTCAATGACATGTCATCAAACAGCCCAGAGTCAAGTTCATTTCTGAAGTGGATGACAGTTAGGGTGACTGTCAGATATCAAAGAAATTTACACTCTAGGGACAGAGCTGCTCTCATGTCCTAAATCCTGCTCTCTGGTTTTGTACAACCAAGTTTTCATTTCTCCACATTCTTCAAATTCAAAGTAGCAGCCTCCTCACCTGTTCCTCTTAATTAGAACAGGAAATGCACATAAAAGTTTAGCCAGATGGAAAATAAATATTTCACTAGCAAAGGATAAAACACTGTGTTCTAAAAGGGAATCTTTATTTCAATAAAGGCATTAACTACATTTCAACAAATTCCTTTGCTATCGGGGGGAAGTCATGGCAGAGCAAACCACAACTGGCTTCCCACTACAACATGTGTAGGAGTTCTCCGGTTAGACAAATGACACGCTTGTGTCATGCTTGTATCTATCTGGTATTCTCTGGGATATCAACCTCCAAAGCCATGAAATAAAACCAGGACACATGCAAACAGCTGGGATACCTTTTTAAAACCAAACGTTACTTTCTTTTTACATTGAGAAAAAAATGAATCTGACAGTGAAAAATCTTAGTGCTTAGAGCACTATTTCTACTCAGTGTGACTATTCACCCACCTGCTACAGAGATATTAATGCACTGATGATATTTTTTTTCTGTAAAAGATACAGCACACATGCTAGAATACCTTTCCAAAAAAGATTCTGAATTTGAAAACATCTGTCCTCAATGCTCTCAGATAAGGGATTATAGACCCGCACCATATGGTAATGTGTACATGGCTATGTATTAGGAAAAATGTCTTCGCCTCTATTCATTTGCTAAGGTGTTCTAAACAGAGCTGAAATGAGCCAGCTGTGAGTTTCACTGGAAAGGGCACACACAATCAATTTGGATCATTTATGCTTATTGAAGACTTCAACTCATAAAGCACCAATAAGTCTGAATCAACAACTCCTGTGATCTTTCATTGTAATAAATACGATTTTAATTACCACAGACAATAGGCATGCAATGAACCTCTGCTTGAATAGCACTCTGAGAGGCTGATTCATCTGGAGGTTTCACTGGAATTAACTCCAGCATTAGCTATTAGTGGAAAGATGGCAGGGTTCCATTCCTGTTAGAGTTATATGAACCTTTAAGTTACTAACTGCAAGAACACAGAAACAGTTTGAAAAAGGGAGGGGACTTCGGATCAAGTAGGAGTCATTATTACTTGCTAGCTATAAATGATGGAGCAGGGAGCAGAAAGCCTAGAAACCATGGCACTGTGACGCCACAGCTGCAATCTTAGTACATTTAGAACTTTTAACCTCCAAGGATACCCAAAGGCATTTGCAAAGAAGTCCTTTCGACACGTGAAATGATATGTTCATAGGTTCTAGGGATTAGTGAGTGGAGCACCGTGAGGGAAAGGAGAACAACATCTTATCCAGCAATCTCTCCCTCCCTCTCCCCCCCCTCCCCGCCCGCGCAGCTGATCTCTCTGTAGTACTTAAAGTTGGCAAATACCACCCGCCTCAGGGCCTTTGTGCATGCATGATGATCTGGTATGCTCCAAGTCAGCTCCTTCATCTTAATAAATACTGCTGTCCCTGGCTAAATATCCTCCTTTCTGTTTCAGAGACTGTATCACAATGAAAATGACACAGCTACTTAGGCGACTACCTATATAATTTGTGTGTCCCACTAAAATGCAAATACCTTGAGAGCAGGGGTCATGTCTTTCTGGGTTTTATGTCCCAGTACCTGTACAACAGAAGATGAGGGACAGCCAGAAATCAAGCTAAATAATAGGGATGAGGGCATGAGAGATCTGAAACAGATTCTCATCTGCTAGCCAAGTCACTGTAATCTGCCTCCAGTGCTTTTTTCCTACTGTAATTGAGCTGTGAGGAACACTGGATATTGAAGTGCTTTTGTTTTCCCTAGCTTTATCAAGGACTTTTTGTCGTGATGTTTTTGGTATAGGAACAACGAAGTTAAATTCAGGATTTCAGCCAGGGAATCGTAGAGGTCTAATTTTGGGATGGCTACAAACCTGTAGGGGACCTCAAAGAATTCCTGGGGAGCAGCGAAACATATTAAGTTGGGTTTCTTGAAATCTGCCCTTGGGGAGCAGATCCAGCTTCTTGTAGGGGTATATGATTCATATTCAGCCCACACAGCTGGAGTAGTGAAGGGGTTGCTTAAATTCCCAAGGTCATGATTGTATCTCCAGAACAGTCTAAATGAGCCAGTGACAGCCATGCCGTTACGCATGAGGCAAGGTACACCTCCTCTGTAAACACAGGTAGATGAAGTAACTTCACAAAAAACAAATCTTCATTATTCAAGCACATTTTAAATGACACCATATCAGCTTAGCATGGGTTCACTGCACTAAATACAGCGCTTTCTCTATTCCATGTACTTACAACAGTGACATATTCGTTCTAGAAAATGCTTTCTTTCATTGGGGGAACTATCCTATGCATCATGACGCTTAGTAGACTCCCTGAGAGCAGTTCACTAAAAACCAGCAGCATGCTACTGCTAACAATACACCCAAAGTGTCTCCAGATGCTGCCTGTGGTCCAAGGGGGAAATGCTGTCTCAACGGTGAAAGCTAGTTGCGTCCTCCCAATCTCAGCACCACTTTCACCAAACACCTTCTGTAGCCCTGAAGCACAGGGCATGCAAGGCAAACACAAGATGTTTCTATTGCTGACAATTACACTTTTGTTACTTTCATTACAGCTTCAGGAAAAAAAAAAAAACAACAGTGTAGTTATATGAAAAGAAAGACCAAACTTGGGATGGTCAAATAGTATAATTATCTCAGGGAGACCCAATGTTAAATATAAGAGCTCAAGCAAAGTGATTTAGAATATAATATTAGACATGTTTGGGACAAAAGTGAACAACTTTCCTGTGTGTATTTTAAAGTTAAATTTGATCTAGTTAGTTACCTTTACATTCAACTTCTTCCGAATATATCACTGAGTAATTTAACAACTCTGTCACATTTTAAGAAAGCAAGCTATGAATGAACCAGATGGACTCCAATGAAGAATCCAATTAATATAGACAGATTTGCCATCTGATATGACTTGAAAAACAGCCCAACAATTTGGTCAAACAACAAATTTGGGCATCATAGCTGCCACTGGTAATTAGCTTCCAAATTCAATAGCTCCCTTTAAGTAAAAGAGAACTGACACATTTCATTGAAAGTCAGAAGATTTCCAAATAAAACACATCCACTTCACCCATTTTTCCATAATCAAGTCGGGGAGGGGGAAGCCTGCCTTGGCATCAGGGGAATGTGATCACGAACGAAGCTGACGCTCCCACTTCCTAACTGCAGGGTCCTTCTTTGCCAAGGTAGCTACCAGGGTAAGTTTTCAAGTGTAATGCACAAGTCTTCTGTCCAAAACTACATTAACTGAACAAATGTCAGCCCAATTCTAAGACAAAGAGGTGTCAGAGCAAAGCTATAAGTATCCCCTTTGACTCATACTACTGTCAGCAAGACCAGAGGGGAGATCCCACATGGAGAAACATCACATTGAATTGTTTCTAGGAATCAGGCTTCATAAGCACAAATAAAGCTGAGACTTCTAAGAAATGATTCATTCTATTTACTGGGTAGAGGGGAGCCCATTAAGCAGAAGCTCTACCCCTGAGACACACAATTACTGTGACTGGGCTGGGAAGTTTCACAGATAGAAATGGCTCACTGCAGGGAGATTTCTGGTACCAAGAAATGATCAGCTAAGCAAGAAACAAAAATGAAGTGTCTTTCCCAAGAATTTCTGGTTTCTACAGGGACAGTATAAACATGCTATTAATTTCTTATTTTGTATTTTTTTACCCTCCCCAGCCAAATTCATGGATCCTGAGAGTTCACAAATAGGCCTAAGCACACCCTATCCATCATATGATACTTTATGTCTGCACATCTGTTTTCTTTGTAAACCGAGTCTTAGGTATTAATCTGATAATCCAAACAGGACATGACTTAAAAGAAGTTACAAAACACTAAGAGAGGAAAATGTGTCTTGGCCACTGAGTTTGTTGATCAAAACATGCTGCCAGTTTCGACCCAGTTAGTTGTTCCACAAACTTGGGATGATGTTTATCCATGTAAGAAAAACCAATAAAGAACAAACAGGTTCATTACAATAAAATAGTATTTACACGCTAATCATGAATGAAAGAAAAAAAAAACGTTAACAGTAAAACCATTAACAAGAGAAATGGAGATACACTCTCTTTCTGAACCCCTTAGAGCAGATACGCACAAGCATGTGACATAGCCCACAAAGGTCTGTATAGGCTGTGAGAATACTAACACCAAATGGTCTTAAGGTGGAAGCCAAATGTCACCTTAAATCCAGGGCAGTCAACAAATGCATACCATCATTGGGCACAGCCCCTCTCTCTCAACACGAAGCAAAACAAAAGAGTTTCAAGTAATATCACAGAAGAAAGAAAGATCTGAGACGCCTCGACAGATTAGCAACTTTTCTGTTTTGTAAAGCGTGTCAATGAAGTGACCCAAGTTTCAGACAAAATGTCACCACTTTCAGAAAGCTGGGTTTCAGAAAGCAGACAGTGAAAAGAAGCTGCGTCATAGGAAACAAACGAGGAACATCATTGACCAGAGGTGAGTTTATTCAAACCACAACGTCTGTGACTTCTCCTTGTTGCTCCCATTGCACAAGGGTAAGTGACTTGAGGATTGATACCTACCTACTGTGCTCTGAAGAACAGATTTGCAGTGTCTAAGTTTGACATGCAAAATGGCTTATGGAAAGGATAGAGCCTCCTATTAATGTTAGGGCCCAAAGCACAATTACACACTGAGATCTTGTATTTCTCTCACCTCAACGGGAAACCTCCGGCCGTTGATACTGTGTTCGGAGCCAGCTGAGCCATTGCTGTGACCCCAGTGGAATTCCACCTTCTCGGCTTTGAATCTGCCAGGCAGGCCTGCGCCACTGACAAAATAGTCATCCTTCAGAAGAATGGCGACTGCAACACAGAAGGGAAGTGGATAAAACAAAGTGAGTCTCAAAACCAAGTATTTCCTCTGTGGCTTCCAAAATAGTCCACAATGGTAGTGATATGAACTAGTTCCTCATATATGTGGCTAATGACATCATTCTGAGTAAGTAAAAGTTCGGCTGCTAAATGTTCTTGAATCTTTAGTTGGCTCTACATTGTGATAGGACTCACACAAGGATCTCAGAATTCCATTTAACTATTTAACAGACTAGAAAATAAACAAATACAGTGACTGAGTAAGCCTGGATGAATTAGTGTCTGCCCAGTCTCCTGGATCATCAAAATTAAGTTGAGTGAGACTTTACTCTCTTCAAGGACTGACTTTGAAGCTACCCCAGAATTCAAGGAGTGGAATGAGGTGGGAAATAGAAGTCAGATGCAACACCCATGCTTCTTTGATGAGAACCATTTCAGTATCATTAAACAAAACATGTGGCTTCTTTCAGTTTCAAGGGCAACAATACTGAGGAGACAGTAGGTTCTTGGGATTGTAGATACTGTAACTCATTATGTGTAAGCAACTGCAGTACAAAACTTATTAAGTTTGTCAAATACTGGATAATCTCCATTGTTTTAAATTCTAACCATCAAAAAATCTGTATTAGGCCAACCAAAAGAATAACATACAAAAATTCATATATAAGGAATATCAACCAATTCAGATGCTAAACCTCAAAAATACGCCTCTCTTGCTTGGAAATATGGGAAGGAGAAACCATGAAAAAATAGGGTTTAATTAGCAGAAAAAAATATTTTTCCAAAAGGATGTAATTTCCTTGGTGAACAAAAAAAAAAAAAAAATGGTCTCTATTCTACAAGTGATAGAGTTCTCTCTTCCGCTTTCTTAAATGGATTCATTTATATATTCAACAAATACTTACAGGCTGCTAAATACTCTAAGGTGACAACTAAAATGCTGAATGCTTTTGATCAAAAGCTCAGCTTTTGCAAGGCATGGGAAAGCTCTTGTGTCGTCATTGTATCCTCCTCTTAAAGAAATCCCAGTTAGAGCTTTAGAGAGAAATCCTGCATGAAAATTAGGTCTCCATAAAAGATAGGGACTAGACTAATGACCCATTTCTAAAACAGTGCAATTAGTTTCAGTACTTCTCTATATAAAAGCAGCATTAAAAGCAAGTGAAGGAACCCTGCTCATATAAATCCCTTTTTATTGCATTCAAAATGCAGTTTTTCTCCAACTTCTGAAAAATATACAGTAAAATGTTCAATTAGCGGGACAGTGAATTAAAGGATAAAAGGAAGTAAAAGCAAGTGTTTCTTGTCCCAATTAAACATGCTATAGTGATATTCTACCTTTACTCTGTGTTGTTGAATAGATACTGGCAAGCTCACCCTATGCTATGGGCTAGCCAGCAAATATTTCAGGCTTGGTATATCTCTTGGTGTAACCAGCTGATCTTGGCTTTATGATGAAGGAATGGCCAAAGACAATATGCAAATGATGAGTGGGGTTTTGTTTCAATCAAATTATATGCAACCCCAATGAGATTTGAAATGGAAAGTATCAACATATGCAATAGAATATTACTTTCCTTTCAGTTTCTTCCAACTATTTTAAAATCAGCAAACAGGAAGGGAGGCTATCATTTTGAGATCCCCAAAATATATCTTAGAAGTTAAAATATTATCTAAACTGGTAAATATCTGTAAAATACAATTTATATATCAAGTTTTACATGTTCTCAGATTATATCAGCATATGCCTTTAAATCCAATGTCAAAACACAGAGGCACCAGCTCAGTGGGGTCTTAACTACCGGCGATGATTCTCAGCCTGTTGCAAGTTCTCTGTCGAACATATTGCATCCAGGACGAAGGCAAAGCATCTGTTGCAATATACCAGGGACTCAGCATCCTCTTATAAATATTTGATTTCACCTAAATCATTTATGTCTCTGTCAGGGGTCATTTTACTTGTTTTATATGAATAATTAAAAGCATAATTAGGGAACTGTACAATCTGAAACATTAATCTCATTTTTCATTTCATGGCAGTTTTCAACAGAGCACACAGCATGTTACAGGCATATATACCTCTACCAAAACAGCTTATATTCTTGTTTACATATGAAACTCTGCAAGTAGGAACTGTACCAGCTCCACTGTTCTCCATTTTCTGGTGACTACAGGTAATGAACAGTGTACTAAAGCCAAATGCTCCCAACTGGCTACCACAGGACGCAGAACTTCTGACAAGCAGAAAGTCAAGTGATACTGGAGTTCTCTTCTGCTTCCCTTAACAGGCCTCGGCAGATTATCTGCCTGCTCCATGCCTCAGTTTCCACAAAGGTTCAAAAGACAATAGAAGTTCCTACTTTGCCAGGTTATTTCAATAAAATCACACTCTGAAAGCCACTTAACACAATGACGTGGGCTCAGCAAGTGCACTACCAATGACAGTTACTACCAAATGCCTATCCAGGACTGAAGCAGAGCCCTGTGCTGCACAGAAGGGCGGCACACACGTGTTAACTCCATTCTCAGCTACAACACAGGTACAATAATTCCATTGGAAGATACTGCCCCAATTTAACACAATACCATCCTTTCCACAAAACACAAACTGTCATTAGACAGGGGAGAAACAGCAAAGCATGCCTGCAGCTTGAGATTAAATTCATTTTCTTCACTAAAACACAGAGTGAAAAAGACACTTGAGTTTATTGGGCTATTTCTATACTTTAAATTACATCAAAGAGAATTTCAATGCGGTGCTAGTATAATTGGCCATATTTCCCTGATTCCCATTTGTTTCTCCTTTTTATCCAAGAGCAGATATTCAATTTAAAGTTAACAACACAGGAAACTGTGATTGATTTTCATAGGTTATAGACACATACATAGTGCTAAGTCTGTATTAAACAATTGGTTTTCCCCTCTGTGGTTCTTATTTTAAAAAGTTTTAAGCTTTGTTTCATTTAGTTAAAGTAAAACAAGCAAAATGAAAGACAAACAGCAAATTAATACTACGGGAGTAACAAAAATGAAAATCTTAATTTACTAAAATTATAGCAAAAAGGGTTGAATTTAGATAAGGCAAAAATGAGGAAGGTAGCAAACAAGTCGCTAAAGATGGAACAATAATGGTGTTTTAAACCGAATGAGCATGTGCAGCCAATAGTCATTACTATGAAAGTATTAGGAGATCATGGGGAAGTGATCACGTTGTGAAGGTGGAAACTTCATGAATGTGACGGACAGCCTTATAAAGGAGGCCTGTGAGAGCTCTTTCCCTATCTTCTTGGGGGAAGGACAAGATGGCACCATTTTCAGATGCTGAGCCTGCCAATGTTTTGATCTTGAAATTCCAACCTTGAAATCTGCAAGAAATGCTTGTAGTTGAAGCCACTGGGTTTAGAGTATTTTGGTAAAACAGCATGTCATACCAAGACAGAGGAACGAATGGGAGGACTTGGCAGAATCGGCTCCTCCAGTGTCTTAGCTGCTAACATGGATCGTGTTACACTCAAAACAGAATGATGGAAAGAGTAGAATGAGCTGGGGGCTTCAATAGGCCGTAATAGTAGTCACCTATAGACTTTAGTTCTATGCTCTGCTGACAAAGAAGTAAGTTTCTGAGTAGGTTAGATATGGGGAATGGATGAGGTGGATTCTGGAACCAGTAATGTAGCTTTGAGTACAATATCTCCATTGTCTGTCTACAAGAAAATGACTACACTTATTGGTCCCTCAGTTTCCAGGCTATTAACTTGGGAGAAGATGGCAGCTACCACACTGGTTTGTGAGGAGGCTCACCAAGGTTGACAGGTGAAGAATGACCAGAACAAGAGCTTATGTGTAATACGATGTAACACAGCTGGCATTGCGGAAATGTTGCTTGCACAGGCCATTATCATAGGCAGAGGATCCACACTTATCACGAGATTCCGTGTGTCTGGGACTACTTCCATAGGGACAGCAGAGAAGTTAGAGTTGGCTTGTAACTTGAATAAAAAAAAAATGAGCTTTCTCCTGAGCTTGAATGGAGAGTACCTGGCATTCACCGCTCCTTTACAATTCATCCACCAACTGTTTATAGATTAAATTCACCGTGTGTATACAACGCAGGGCTAAAGCAAATGTTCACACCAAAATCTGAGTAAACAGCAGCAGGTGCTAAAAGGTAAAGAAAAATGCAAGGGAAGAAAACAAGAGCTGCTTACTGTCATCCCCCGTCCCTGATGTTCAAGACTGTGAGGGAAAACCTAGCACTCACTGGATAATAACTGTGGGATCCCAGCAAACAGAATTCCACGTCTATCAAGGAGATGTCTCTGGCCTCTGGGTAAAAGAGCAACACTCATGTTAGAAAGAGTGGCCCCCACAGCAAACAAACTTACAAGCAGTATAAAAGAGGAAATCAACTGTAGGTAGAAGGGGCTTGGGGGCATCAGGACCTAATGAGATTACCAGAGCTGAGCGTGAAAGCAGCTACCTTGGGGAAGTGCTGATGAGAGGAGCAAAAAAAGGAGTCATGTCTGTGCAAAGGCACAGGGGGTAGTGGGAGGGAGGAAGAGAAATCCAGAGTGATGCCAACCCATGAATGAGACATACAATGAGGCTAGAGACAGTGAGCAGGGCCCAAGAGAAAGCAGTGATCCCTAATAGGTTTGGGGGAAAGGGGAAAATAAGAAGAAAAAGAGAAATAGACAGGAATAGGTTAGGGAACTTGGCAGGTTACACTGGCTACTATGAGAAGGCCCAGGAGGAGAGTAATACTAGATGGTGACAGACATAGAAGTTAGGTGTCTGCAGTGGACATATTCAGTAGGACCAAACTCTGATAACAAAGAGATGACAAGCCACAGGATTATCTAAGGACTCAGGTAACCTGTCACAGCAGCAGAAACAAGGGGCATTAGTCAATCCTTGAGCCAAATTAAGATATGGCAGAGATATGGCAGATGACAGCCTGGCAGAGGACTCTACTCCTAAAAACAAAAGGA